CACACAAGTCTGAGCTGTTTTTGCAATAATGAGCAGAAACACACACACATATGCACAAATCCATGACAGTAAAGAAATCATGGAGACCCCATGACAGCAGTCTCTGCAATGCAGACCAGAAAAAAAAACAACAGAGAATCAAAAGATAAGTGGTAGAAAGAGCAGGAGAGGGATAACTAGCTGGTAGGGCTGGCTGTGGTTGTGTAACCTACTCAGGCAGAGTATATTGATCAGCTGCTTTCCTGCTGCTTTCTGCCTCATTATCAGATGACACGGACTGTTTTTGGTCAAGCTACACATAAAGATCCATCTGAGCTGCACAACACACAGCTTTTGTCATGTGGACAGTGTACAGGGACTGTTTGCTCTTTGATTGCTTTTATTTATGTGACACTCTTTGTAACTTCTGCTTTTCTAAATGTTTTGCATATGAAAAAACAAATACTGCACATTTTCAGGAAATGCATCAGAGAATGGATTGATGGTAGCTTTTGGTGAACGTCGTTCTCTTTTTCCACCTTTTCCTCTCCCAGAGTTTGCTCCTCAGCACCATGAACAAGATGAAGAACTTTAAGAGGCGTTTCTCGCTATCGGTTCCTCGCACCGAGACCATCGAGGAGAACGAGTTCACCGAGCAGATCAACCAGCTCAACATCCGGCACACTCAGGGTAATTCACACGCCTTCATTTTTCCAGCTCGTTGATGAAATTTTGCAATTTTACATAATTTAAAAACCAAAGCCGTTGAAGGGCACCAATGTGTGTGTGGCGAAAGTGAGCAGGAAAGAAAATCCATCCACTTGAGACTTGCTGCTGAGGTCACGGTGGAGCGTCTAACAGCTACAGAGCCCAATGGTTCAACCAGAAGTTGGTGGAGACCAAAGCAGAGCTCATAAGAGAGTGACAGGACTGCAGACAATGTTAGATGTACCAACAGGTTTACAGTCTCAGCTTTATACAGTGATAGTGCACCGATGTTTTTTTTGTTTTTCATCAGCTTGTGCCCCCATTTGACCCAAAAAATAATTCCATTAATTTCAAAAATGTTGCTTAAAGTTTGGTTAAAACCAGCCACATAGTTTGTAGTTTTGGTTTTTATGGATGTCTCCAATATGAAGGCGTGGTGTCGGCTAGCACACAACCATCCAGCTAGCTGTAGTTACCGCTGGACTTTAGTTATGGGATGTAATATCATCCAAACATAATTCAGATTGAAACAATAAAGTCTGGATGTGTCACCTAAAAAATAGATTTTATAATCAATATTTTTGCACGAACAATTCCAATTTCAAAACAGTTTCATTGTGCAATGCTTAAGATCTGGTGAAAGGCAAAGCTGCATGAAATTTCTATACACATATATAAATATACAACTTTATTTTTTGCTTTAAATCCTCTCATGTGCCTCTGATCCAACTGCAACAAGAAGCAGTTTTCAGAAAAGAGAGAAAAGTCTCCTCCCTGCCAAGCCCAGACAGCAGACGGTTAAAGTAAGCAACTAGCTTAACGGAGTATTTAGCAGTTAAATTTCCCCCAGAAGGTGGACCGAAGCCAAATATAGGAGAATGATATAAAGCATCAAACGACAGTGTGAAAGTAATACTTACAGGTCTTTATGCAGAGAACATGAATCATCGGCTCTCTTTGGCTTCACACAGCTTCATCACAGGTCTTCAGTTCGTTTGTTTCGCTGTTCAACTCGTAATTTTCTCATCTGTACCTTCTGTATGTAACAGGAAGCTGTTTCCAGCCAATACAAACACTCTGAGAGCTGACTGAACGCTACCTGCTCAGCACCTTACTGTAGATAGACAGCTAGAAGCTAGTCGGTGGACATCGTGGAGCATCCAGCAGCTGAAGATGGAGAAATTCTGTTGTGAATGTTGGATTTACCAAATGGACTCAAGCATGACTTTAAATGAAGGAAAATGTTGCTCTGTTACTGCTGAAGGTGAGAATATCAGCTTATAGATAAGTCAGTGTTGTGTTAACAACTTAGTGTTCCCAGCTTTAAAGAATCATTAGAACAAACTTCAAGCGCTCGTATGTGATTGTTAAGAAACCCAAATCCCTGCACTGTTCCATCCTCAGTATAACTCCTTCCTCGGGGATTTAGGTCAATCACAGGGTTTTTAGAGGTTAAACAAACCATTTTATAGCCAACGTAGCATTGGTTAATCAAGCACATTCAAATTCCTGCAGCCTGAGCTCCTCCACTTCCTCGTGTCTTTCGGGTTTCTGTGTGAATGAACGGCTCTGGTCTAATAATAGAGCGCAGACTGCAATCCCCCTCTGGGTTTTAATAGCCACTACAAAAGCCGTCCCTCCTTCCGTGTCTGTAGCCGGCCCTCACAGATTAGCGAAGGTTTTCCGGCCATGACTGGTACCACCACCGAGCCGCAGAGGATCAGCGGGCTTCAAAGGGGAATGAGGGTTATGGTGGGATGTGGCGAAGGTGAACTTAAACCAAGTCGGGCGTCGCAGCGTAAGCATGATGCACCGTCATCGGATCAGATTTGCAGATACGTCGCTGCTGCAGTGATCAAAATCGCTTCTGCCTCCTGCACGAAAAGGCCGTTAAATTCAGCTGCTTTACGGAGAGAAGCAGCTGGCTGTGTGGTTTAAACCCCCCAGAGTCCATCAGTCTGCATCACTGTCTGCTGCCGAAGTTCAGGGAAGAGATAAACAGGCAGAGACAGACGGAGAGGAACAGGACAAAGACACACAGATAAACAGATGAGTGAAGAAGAAAGAGGAAGTGTTTGACCCAAAACCCAGCAGCCGTCTGCTCTCTACGCTCCTCTCACAGCTTTTCCTGGTTATCTTGCTTTTTCCAGTTTTATCTTACTGACAGTTTTAGTTGTTTTTAAATGATTTGCTTTAACTACTTCTTGGCAAACGTCTGCCGAAAAGCTGTGGGTGGAAGGATTTTGGTTTCTACATTTATGTTCATGCTTGGATTAACAAGAAACAAGAAACAAGGTGTTAATTAGTGAGCCCAGTGAAATCAGTGTTTTTATGTGATGTCTCTACATGTACTGCAAGATCTGTGACAACAATGACAAAGAAAAGTCATTTTGTTCGCATATAACAGGGTCTTACCATCTTATATTAACCTCTCAGAATTGGCTGATTGTTAATGGACAATAACTTCAGTATATTTTGCTAAATTTTGCCTTTATACTTTGAATTATTTTCTACATTACAGGATCTTGAATTACACAGAGGTGGGCAGACAGGTGGCTACATGATGGTTTATTCATCCCTTGGGTAGAAATTCAAGGTATCCAGTGCAAAGTGAACAACGGTGGCTGGTTTTGATTCCTTTCTTATTCCTATTATTCATATGGCAAGTCTACAATATGTGCACCATGCAACAGAAATTAAGCATAAAAACTCTGCTTCCACTGTCGTCATAACTGTACAACGCGGCCTCTTTATTGTCAAGCTTGGAGGCTTCCAGAAATGACGCAAAAAGGTTGTGTTTTAACAACCTGGGACCAGTACAAGGACCAGAATGTGTGAAAAAGTTCAATTTTTGTAGATTCTTAGACCGTTTAGATGCTTCAGAAGTTTTATTCTTGGTTATATTGACCAGCTCGCAGGCTCAAATGTATATTTACTTGTTTGACAATGTTCTCAAACACAGGCTGGGTATTAGCGCCATCATTATTTGTTCTGGGTATGTTTCCCTTTTCATTCACAGCCTTATTGTCCCTTTTGACTGTAAACACAGTTTGTAGATGGAAACGCTACAAGAACATCATGTGGCGGACCATATTGGATTGTCCTTTACCAAACAAGATGTCTTGCAGGCATCCATCCATATCTCACAGCAATCAGACACTCTGTGTGTGTGTGTGTGTGTGTGTGTGTGTGTGTGTGTGTGTGTGTGTGTGTGTGTGCGCTCATATCAGTATCGTCTTTACTGACCCCAATTAGCATCTGCAGATCAAACGCAGCGCTGTAGCTGTGATATTCAAATTACAAGCAAACAGGTTGTCATTTCATCCCCCCTGCCCATTTAGACTGTCAGTCAATATGACACACAGCTCGGCTTGTCAAAGGCGCCTCAGTCGCGCTGTTAAAACGTCTTGTTAAGCTCAACCCAGGCAGTTTTTTTTTTTAAATGTGGGAACTACGCTGGCTTCTGCTTCTGTTTATCTTTTTACAGCCACTGATGCATCCGCAGCTCGTTGTGTGTGTGTCTGTGTGTGTGTGTGTGTTTTCAGTATGCAATAAATATTAATATTTGTGTGCATACATATTAATGTGTGTCTGCAAAGGGGGAAGCTTAAATAAAACACGCTGCATGACACATCCTCCTTAACTCAGAGGGCTTCTTTCCTTGTTAGCCGTTACTGGAAACAGGGAACAATTCCTGCCACTGAAATGGAGACGCGTCCACCATAGCGGTGAGGTTGCCAATACTTGCCATTGAAATTGAAGATCAAACCGCGGCTGAAACCTCACAGCAGGCAGCGTTCAAAGGCTGCCGACGAGGCATCAAAAACACATCACTTACAGATGTGTGGCGAAGATCAAAGTCGGGCCTTCGCTGGACGGTAGCCGCCGCGCTGCTGTGCTCATGGTAATAGTCTGACACGTTTGCATCAGCAGCCTTGAATGTGGAGTTCCTCTTTAGCCGTGAGCATGGGCTCTGCGGACAAGAAAGGTTTCAAGGCAGCTATGTCTTCCTTAGTTCAGTGCTCTGACTAGCGCACAACGTTGTTCTGATCTTCCTTTCACAACACTTTTTGCAGAATGGCTTTGTTCAATGTAAAAAAATTAAAAGCCCTGGTTCTCTCGTCATCTTTGTTCTTTTCTCTTATCAATCAGCATCAGCCTCCATGTTTTATTATGGCAGCTGTAGCTTTTTTTTGGGTATTTGTTCATCTTCATTTTAAGGCTGCAGTCGAGGTAGACAGGAAGCGAGGGGTAATAATGTCGTGCAACAAAGGTCTGGCCAGCCAGTAGTCAAACCGCCACCTGGCATACGCCTCAGCAATTAGGCCTCCATGGTGTCACTGGTTTTCTCTCTCATTTATGGTTTTATCTGAATGCGGGGAAAGAGGTGGACGCAGCCCACGGGGGCTGAGGTGTACATGCTCTGAGCATCAGGCTGCCAGAGATGCCTCATTTCTGCATATCTTTGTGTGCATTTGTGAATCAACCAGAACGATGCGAACCTCGTGACCTTCCATGGGTTCGTCAGACTCCTCCCCCTCCTCCTGTTTTTTCCGGTCCAGCATTTGCCTCGATTACGTTTAACCTCCTCACCGTGTATCATTAGTCCCGTTTGTAAAGTTCCAGATCCTAATCCATTAAGCTGCATTTAAATCTGATAAAATTAGCCTCTCTAAGGAAGGAATTACAGCCGCTACACAAAGCCTTGTGGAAACAAGGTGTTAATGCAAAACGATAAATCTGTTTATGTTTGTAGTCATTTGACCCCATTGTACAGTTTGTCCACCAATAGTAAACCTCCTCACATATGGTCAATCCCAATTAGACACATTTCTGCCTCTGTAGCTGCTGAATGCTCCACTGTGTTCATCAACTGTAGCTGATTCGTGCACGCTGGAGTTTTAGAGCTTGATTTTATTGAAAACATTTCCTCAGGCTGATAAGAGCCACGAGACTAAATACAAAAAAAGATGCTAAAATGCTCCATGCAGCTTGAAGCTCTTCACAGTTCTGTCTGAAATCTTCATTATGAAAATGAAATAAATGAAATGAAAAATACTTTATTTGTCCCAGAAGGGAAATTCAATCTTTATGCTCCTTCTGCAAAGCTCAACATTTTGGAAACAACACCTGTTGATTTTCTTACTGAGAGTCGTGTGGGAAGCTTGATGCTGCTCTCATGTCTGTATGGAAAGGTCCTGGTGGCCCAACCTGACAGGAGCTAAACTGGCTGCCTACCAGCACCTTTGTGGCTCAGGGGATGGAGCGGGTTGTCCACCTTGGTTGGAGGTTCAATCCCCTCTGAATTGTCCTTCACCAACCGAAAGTTGTTCCCAATACCAGGCAGCTCTGTCGCCATTGGTGTGTAAATGTGTGAATGAGCAAAGCACTCTGACTAAGGTAGAAAATACATACAGTAAATGTAGAGCATTTACCTTTAAATGTCACAAATTAACACCTTATGTGCAAAAAACAATGAGTCACTGACGGTACCGGGTGAGTACAAAATAAACTCTGCAGTTCGGACAGCTTGTGGTTTCATTAACACCACTGATGATGTTTCTTCTCTTTCAGGCCTGACTCCAGATCGGCTGGGTCCTCCGTCCCATGACGCCAGCCCAGTGAGCCCTGAACCGACCACACCAGGAGCTCAGTCTCCATCCCACCTCCACTTCCACAGCACGGCCCAGCACAGACGTTTCTCCATCGAGGTGAGAAGCAGAAGCTCAACCAACAGACTGACTCGGGGTTTATAGAACAGATGAAGTAGTTAACCTGCCGCTGAGCACTTTGGTTTCCAGGGAGGCTGTAGTCACATGTGACCAGGTTTAATTGACACGATTCAGCGCTAATAGGAACCTGTGCAATCACAGAATAGATATCAGTGGCGGCACAAGTGGTCGCTTCTCCTGACTGAACTGTTCCCCAGGAGTCATTTCTCCATTTCTTCCTCTGCCAGCTCAATGAGATGAGTCACCCCAGAAGCTTTTAACCTCGCCGCAGCATCAGAATTTTTATTGGAAATGTGAGCGAGTTCACAGTTCCACCTTTTTCTGAAAGAGTCCCCGTGGATCCAGCAGCGTGATGCGCTTCGACTCCCTGCACCAGACAGTCTGCTGAAGCTATTCCAAGAAGGAAAGCGAGTGCTCGAGAAGGAGCACGAAGGACAGAAATAATAGTGACAGTAAGAAGGCGAGAAGCTTACACAGATCTGGATAGCCCCTTTTCAACAAGCACCAGAAATGTGCTGTAACTCCTTCTAATAAAAGGAATCCTTTCATGGTTGTCAGGGTGTGAAAAATCTCTTTGGCTGATGTGTAAAGACGTGTTTTTTTTAGCTAGTTCTTTTTATCACAGTGACGGCTCGACCACTTACCTCCTGGAACCTTGTTAATATTTAAAAATGCATAATTGTCTTATTACTGTAGTGGAGGAGTAATTTTATTAATTCATGACTTCTTCCTCATTCACACGGGAGAGTTCTCTTTAAACTGACTCGCCTCATCTGTGCTGGACCGTGTTGGTGTGAACGCACAGTGACATGCAGCTCCACTCACCTTCCACTTTAGCGGAGGTCCTGTCAAACAAAATAAGTCCGGCGGGGATGATGACTTAACGAGTGAGACGGACTTCATTGACCTACTCGCTCTATTAAGACGCAACGCTGCTGAAACAGACGACGTTGACGAAACTACTCAAGGAATGTCACCAATTACAGTTTATTAGCAGATAATTTACTGGACTACACTTAATTAATTATGAGCGGGACATTATTTTATATTTAACATGAGTGTAAAAGGACATTTAACGCTCAAATGCATTGGTTGTGTCTCTGATGTATCTTGATATCAAGCAACACGCCACTTATGTAAGACAAATGAAGCCATACATTCACATCAAATTGCTTGTAAGCTTTCTATTGGAAAGAAAAAATAGATTTCCTGCTGGAAAACTGCTGTGGGACAACTATACAGTGTTCCCTAATTAGTCATATCTTCTCTTGTGACCGCTAATTGAACGTACTGTAACCATTCTGCTATTCAAAGTGCACGTCATGTGGCCTATAAGGTCACAACAGCACATACTAAAGTGAAAGCAGCATCAAAGAAAAGTTGTGTTCTGTGTGAAAGGGCCATAAAAACACACGCAATCAGGGAAGACACGTGCAAAAAGTCCAACTGCGCTACATAATTAGCTTTCTTCCGCTGTAGTTGTGTCCTGAAATGCTTTGTAAACTTCATGCACCAGTTGATGTAACGCTCTACAAACTCATTCCTGTGTATCAAAGGTATATTTTTATGAGTTTTTGTTCATTAAAATCAGCTCCTTCCTGCTCTACAATTGCTTAGCTGTAACTCTACACCGTTGTTTTCTCTACAATGTGCTAATCTATGAAGTCCTTGCCTCTGTTTCAACTCAGCCCTCCCGGCTCACTACAGCTCAAGCACACCAGCTCACCTACAATTCGGGCTTTAAAAACTGTAAAACTACTCACGGCCCAGTGGCAAGTTGTAATACTGTGGAGCTTTAGCCATGTGTGTTCAAATCACTGCAGTTTCAAGGCAGAAATGCTCAATCATGACTATTTATTTCACTCTAGATATTTCTTCTCATTTAAAAAAAGAAAGAAACAAAAAAAAAAACACTGTCAGGACATGTTTACAATTTTAAAAATAATGGATCTAATTTCTAAATTGCACAAACATGATTTTGTCCCAATCAGCAGCCTGAACATCTGCAGAACTCCATCATGTTACTGTGACAATAAGGCAAACAGACACAGCTCTGTATCATGTGTCTGGGGTCAAGCATTGACACCGTGAGTTAACACTGCCACCAGCAGGTTGCACTGCGAATTACAACACTGATTTATCCCATTGAATTACACTGGCCCGAGGCAGTTACTTGAGGACAAACAGTTATATGAAATACTTTTATACTTCAATTAATCTGTCTGTTAACTTCTTTCAGGACGTCAGTAAGTGCATGTCTCTGCCCATGGACATCCGTCTGCCGCCAGAGTTCCTCAAGAAGCTGCAGCTGGAGAGCGAAAACTCACCGCTTTGCAAACCTCACAGTCGCATGTCTCGGCGCGCTTCTCTGGTTTGTTGTTTATGTATCCTATCTATCCATCCGTCCATCCATCCATCCATCCATCGATACAAACATCCATCCATCCATTCATACAAACATCCAGCGATACAAACATCCATCTATCTATCCATCCATCCATCCATCCATCCATCCATCCATCCATCCATCCATCCATCCATCCATCCATCATACACTCTTTAATATATTCAAGGTGTAATCAGACGAGCAACAAGCAATGAGGACCATTAAACTAATCTTGTCTTTTTCTTTTTGCCTCAAGTCGGACATAGGATTTGGGAAACTGGAGACGTACGTGAAGCTCGGCAAACTAGGTGAGGTACGTAACCACCAGCTGCTCCCACCTTTCAGCAAATGTCAGATGGTCGACGAAGACACCTCAGAGACAGTCTGGTGACAGACGAGAGCACAACGACTACACCCACTCCTGTGTCATTGTCAAAGATAGAGTGAATCCCATCAAGCGAGGATAAAGTAGCTCTCTGGTGGATAAGGCCGACCGCAGCTCATGCAAGTTTCCCTTTTACTTATCAGACTGGCTGTGAGTCAGTTCTCTCAGGGGACATAACAGCCTATCAAATAAGATACAACACAGCTTTGTTTGTTCACTGAAATACAAGGCAAACCGCAGCGTACCCATGTGTCCAGTGTTTTTGCATGGCTTAATGAGAAATTGCTCAGCGGACACTCCACAGGTTTCTAATTCATGGATTTGTTTTGAACGGAGAGGGCTCGCGGGCCAAAGCACTTAAACCCAACACCATTAAAGTGAGAGCAGCTATTGCCTTAAGGAGTGAGGAACGATTAGTGACATGAGCGGCCTGCATCAGGGTTGGTCACAAGGCTCAGCAGCACATAACAGCGGTGGCGAGGGATCAAAAAGAGCTGCTTTTGTTGTCAATTATCATGATGAATTGCTCACAACGGCTCGGTTTGCTTTATAGCGATTCACACGTGGCTAATAGAGAAATGCTTCATTCACTGCTGTTTATTTGCTCAATACTTTCAAAAATAAAAACATTTTCTAGCCTGCAGTGCTTGATCTGCAGTCATCCCAGCACAAGAAGAATAGTGAGTAGTGCAAAGATAATAAAGAAGGATTCTCCAACCCCAGTAATCAAACTCCAAAGAAGTAAATGCGCATTTAATGAATGGATTAAACCGAAGCCTGCAGCATTATCTTTAATGCTCCACGTGGATGACGGGGGTTAAAACTTCTAACCTCATTCAGTCAGTCAGAATTAATCATCTTTATGTTTCCGTACTATACGGCAGATGATGACGATGATGGAAAAGTAAACAGACAGTGAAAGTAAACAGATTCCAATCAAATTAGCTTCATTATTCTATTCCTGTAGCAGCATTTACAGCTCAGGACGGGCCAGATAAGATAGTGTCTCCTACGTGTTCTGGGTCTACACAGTCTCGTTCTTTCAGTTACTAAACAAAGCTTATGATTGTAGATGAGGTCTAGAATACAGATGGAGAGCTTTTCCTTCAAGGCCTTTTCACCACAACAATCCGGTACAACACAAACACTACTGCTGACACTACATCAGTCCACCTGTCAGTCCCTTTCTCCATTTTACCATCACTAGTGAACAAGACCTTCAACGACTGGAAACCCTTTACTTTCTCATTCACAACCTGGAGGAAGCTATTCAGTGTTCAATCAACACTCTCCTCCACTTAAAGCAGATTTTGTTTTATTATGTTTTTATCAGTATGCTTATGTGTTGTTGCTTGCAGGGGACTTACGCCACAGTGTTCAAAGGGCGAAGCAAGCTAACAGAGAACCTGGTGGCACTGAAGGAAATTCGGCTGGAGCATGAGGAGGGAGCCCCTTGTACTGCGATCAGAGAGGGTAAACGCACTCTCACATTCATGAACTCACATGCACTTGGGGTGAACCAATCTACTAAATTCTGATGGGGACATACTGCCAGTATCTATGGCCTACACTTCTGAAATTCTGGTCTGTTTGCAGCTACGAGACACATGCTACCGTATTAGTTCATCTGTAAATGTTATGAAACCACCTTTGAATTAACCTTTACTTTGTCAGATTGCATCACAAATGAACTGATGCGACACTTTCTAAATGTCATTCCCCTTTTACATTATATTGGCACATACGAAAGTGTTCATAGCATCATGATAAACTTCCAAAAGAACTTTTAGACAGAAGGAATTTCTCTCTTTTTTTCTTAACTTCATGAGCTTAAAAGAAAATTTGAATATTTTTAAACCTGGTGTATTTCCGTTAAATGTGGCTATTAAATTAGTGCTCACCACTGGTTGGTAGACATTTAGGGAAACAAGGGCTTTGGATCATTTAAAACTCCACTCTCATAGATAGGCTGTACAGTACAACCCTGAGGTGACAGTTAGGACTAGCAGCAGAGGGATCGACATACATCTGTTGCAGTTCTTCATATTTTATGGCATAGGGCCTTTCTTCCCGGTGAGTCTTTGGGGGTGAAACACATGCCTCGGGAAATTTATGTTGATCAGATGCCCGTTGCATTGAAAGAACTTGCAGTACATGCACATGGTGTCTCGTTGCAGACATGAAATCAATTAGCAGGCCTTCGTTAAATGTGTCCAACAGTGATGAGGAAGTATTCACATCCCGTAGATACTATTATTGCATTGTAAAACATGCTCCATTTACAGAATTACATTGAAAATCTTACTATTACACACACTCTGGTTGCAAATGACGTCATCAGCGCATGATGGCAGCACCCACATCTGCAACATTTTGGGTTTATTTTTGTACAGAAGGAGTTAATGGTGATCTGTTGTCCATCTTTAAGGTCAAAGGGTTTACTGTAGGAGACTTGAGTTTGTTCCAGAACACAAATTTAAAGCCTTCTTGACTAAAATGAAGGTTGTTAAGTTCCTGTTTCTTTCTTCTGTCCAACCAGTGTCACTGCTGAAGAACCTAAAACACGCCAACATCGTCACGCTGCACGACATCATCCACACTGAACGCTGCCTCACTTTGGTGTTCGAGTATCTCGTGAGTACATCGGCAGCTCAGGATTTACACGTTTTCTGAAGGAGTTGACCTCGATTTGGACAGATGTGAACACTGCAGCTCTTCTGTTTTTCCAGGACAGTGACCTTAAACAGTACCTGGACAACTGCGGGAATCTTATGAGCATGAATAATGTGAAGGTGAGCCACATGTCTGGAAATACGGAAATGAAATAATTCTAACAGACTGACACATACAGAATTTTCTGCCAAGGTTGCCAAGTTTTAGTTTTAAACTCCGTTAGTCATTTATACAGATGTTTCTCCTTCTCACAATTCCCTGTCGCAGATCTTCATGTTCCAGCTCCTGCGTGGTCTGTCCTACTGTCACAAGAGGAAGATCCTCCACCGAGACCTAAAGCCTCAGAACCTGCTCATCAACGACAAGGGCGAGCTCAAACTGGCCGACTTCGGTAAGAAGGGAAACACACCTGCAGCGACAGACATAAACAAATGCAAATGTGGTCGTAGAGACGGCGGCAGTTGGGACTAAGATGGCTCGTTTCCTGCCACAGTGGCTCTCCAATTTTATTTTACTGCCGCTCAGAGATCTTCCATCCTGATTACTTTAGCACCCATACTTCCTGTATCCTAGCAACTGTGCCCCTCTCTCTCTGAGTTTTTTAAAGTTTTGTGCTGGATGTCAGCAGATAACGCCACCAAACACCGGCAATGAGCTGATACGAGGACCATTCCGATTTATTGCCTTTAATCTGTCTGCTGTTTTATGACAAGAAAGTGTGTAGATGTTGGGGATGAGGTATTATTAGGCTGACAAATGGCAGGCTTGCAACAACAAATAAAAAAAAGCCTTATGAAATCCATACTGCTGCTACTGAGGATGCACAACCTTTAACCCTGCGCTGTCCAGGTCTGGCAAGGGCCAAGTCTGTCCCCACCAAGACCTATTCCAACGAGGTGGTAACTCTTTGGTATCGACCCCCTGATGTGCTGCTGGGCTCTACAGAATACTCCACGCCCATCGACATGTGGTGAGTAACACAATGTACGGTAGATATTTTAATAAGGATTGTTATCTTTTCATCCAAAGGCATTTTTTCTCTTTGATAAATGCATTGCCCCGCGGAGCTCAGGGTTCCACAAACACCAGCGCTCTGATAATGGTGGCATGCTGTTACTCAGACAATCAGATAGATAACAAACAGCTTGCAGATCATCCAGGGTTTCCATGACTCAGTCCTATCAATGAAAACCTTCCAGGCTGTTTGCATAAACATGAGTCACAAAGGAGGGTAATTCAGATGAAGGCACTCTCCTTATGTATTTTTTTTGCTCGCAAGCCCTTCTGCCGTGAGGAGAATATGCGCTCAGCTTTGGTAAACACCACAGGATTTAATGTAGCTCTCTAGCAACCCAGCAGCCTTCTATGAGCTCACCTAGCTGCATATTCTCTGGTCAGACCACAGGGCGCCTCTTCACCACGCCATCCTGCCATGAACAAAAGGCCGCCCACTCCTGCCATACTTGTTTGCACTTATGATCAGCACTCTTTGAAGTGTGTGTGTGTGTGTTGAACATGGCCTCACCTAGAGTTCTAATACACGAGGACTGTTTGATGTTTCCCCTCCCTCCGACCATCTCCATCCCCTCCTGTTTCTTCCAGGGGAGTGGGCTGCATCCTGTATGAAATGGCAACAGGTCGCCCCATGTTTCCCGGTGCCACCGTGAAGGAGGAGCTACATCTGATTTTTAGGCTCATGGGTAAGAAGACAGCATGATACAATAACACTGTAAAGGTCAGACTAGAATGGCCTGGGGCAAAAACAAGTGAGTGAACCCTTTGGAATTGCCCCAGAGTCTGTTATTAAGGTCTGCAACCACGGCAGAAGTCTCATCTCACAGCATTACTGGGAAAATGTTTTGTGGATGATGAAACGTAGGTTACATGTGTTGGAAAAACACATGAATGGTTTGAAAAAAGGCACTTTAAACATGAAAACATCACTCTACCGTTAAGGCACGGTGGTGGCATCATCATCATTTTGGGGCTGTTTTGCTGCTTCTCGCTAGCAATCATTAAGTTTAGAAAGTCACCTTAAAAGATCATGTCAGAGCAGCTGTCCGCCAGCTCAGTAGAAACTGGGTGATTCAGCAAGATAGTGATCCTAAGCATCAAAACACCATGACTTCAAACAAACCAAAAACAAAAGCCACCGTTTGGAGTGATCAGTTCAGGGCCAAGACCTGAACACAACGGAGTTATGGACTCCAGAGAGTTGTTGCTCACATCTAAGAAACTGAATATTGTACAGGTGTGAAACACATGATATAGTTTGTCGAAGATATTGATGCCAAAGAAGGTTTGACATGTCGTAAAACGTGAGGCATCATGTTGTGTTTTCCAACAGCCCTTTGACTGTTCAATAGTTGTAAAGACACAAATTATTATATTAGTTTAAGCACACTATGTTTGTCTTAGATGAGGATCAGATTGTACATTCTGACAAGTCATTGCAGGATATTTCAGCAGTGTCACATCAGATGATCAAACACTTTTCTGTGTCGTTGTTTTCCAGGCACTCCAACAGAAGAGACTTGGCCTGGTATCAGCAGCAACGGGGAGTTTAGGTCCTACCTCTTTCCTCAATACAGACCTCAAGCTCTCATCAACCACGTACCCCGGTAAAGCTGACACGTTTCTGTTCACTACCTGTTGTGCCTAGTGTTGACAGAGAAAAAAAAACAAAACAAGCATTGGTACGAGTCAGCATTTGTTCATTTGCAGCATATGTCAGTTTGCTCAAAGCAAATGAGTCAAAATGTGTCACTAAGCTGTTAGTGTTCAGCCTGAGGGGGGCATGAATGCATACAATTAATTTAATGGCAATTCACCTAATTATTGTGGAGATTTTCGACCACCAATGTGAATCTCATGCTGCCGCTCATTGATCACCAAACTCAGTATTAACCATGGATATCCGTCTAATGACTGCTGGAATATTTCAGTCAGGTCATGAACTTACTGACCAACACTTTGTTTAGTGGTCCTACCAAGGGCACACCAAAAAACAGGATATATTCAATCTCATGCACGGTTTTCTTTGTCATAAATTGACTTGATTAAAGCAGTTCATGATATTTTTAAGGAATTTCACACATTGGCATTTTCTGAGGACACTCCCCAGCTAACAGGTAATTTACAAAAGCATGATTTAGTGTGTTTGACTTAATACTTTAGAGAAATGAACTGCAGAATATTTGGCCCAGTTGTATGTAAATAATCTAAAAACTCCAGATGACTTGTCATAGAAATAAATAAATCGTTTATCTCCCATCCTGTGTTTCCCAACCTGAGTGACTACAGATTGTTTGTCTCTACCCTTTGAATACAACCTATAAGTGTGCAATTTAGCACAAATATGAGGTATATCTCATAAATGTAGATATACATTTAGATATCTATACACATATAAAGCATCATCATCATCATCATGGTAACAAACCATGATCAAAAGTAAGGTTGGAAATGGGTTTCAAACAGGAAAAGAACAGCTGGCATTCATGGATCCAATAATAAACACATGGTTAATGGTGACAATCAATGTGCAGCAGGTAAAATACTATGAAGTGTTTTGTTGACCCAGATGTTTACCTCAGCTTCCTGCCTGCGTGGACTTTATAGGTCTGAAGTTACCTCACTTTCTCCTTTGCACCTGTCGAATTACTGCAGCCACTAGAGGGCAGTGAAGCAATGAAATAGTTCTCTTGCCGTTCCTTAGTTTGGCACCAGAGGTTGGCTTTTTGAGATTTAAAAAAAAAAAAAAATCACATTTATTTTTAAACGCAAGTTATATTTTGAAGTCATGACACTGAACCATCTGTTTTAAATTTTCATATTTTTATCTTCATGTTTTAAGTATTTTATCTTGTGTTTTATGTTGTACATATAGTTTTGTCTGTTACATGTTCAGTTGCTGCTTTTATATTTCGGTAAGCTAAATGTTCCCAGTCTGTAACATCCTATTCTGGTAAAGTATATAAATACGTATCTGATGTTCTCTGGTCTTTGGGTTTGTTATGTTAAGAATGTGTTCCTTTTAATGGATAGCAGTGCCGTTAATATTCAGAAAAATAACACATGAACAAGAAATTCATTGCGTCTGTATTTGCTTTGCTTGTTTATAACGTTAGAATCCATATTCACGTTGACAGATCTATCTATAATACAGACTAAACTTTGATTTGTCTCCATCAGGTTGGACACAGAGGGGATCGACCTGCTGTCTGCTCTGCTGCTGGTACGACATAAAAGCACAGTGACCTGAATATGAAACATGTTATTACAGACATACTGTAATCAACTGTCTTTCTATCCTGTTTGCAGTACGACACCCGGAGCCGAATCTCCTCTGAAGCCGCCCTACGACATCCCTACTTCCTGAGTATGGGGGACAACATACACAACTTGGCAGACAGTAAGACAAACACACACACTCACACTGTAACACACAGCTGTCTATGAACACACAGAGGAGAGGGTCACACGTGGAATTAACTAACTTCTCACTAACGATTCATTAATTATCACGCAGCACACTCCTTCCTTTCTACTCTCACATTTTTGTGTAGCTTTGCAGCTCACTCTTTTGGATGCTGCCTTAACGATTTGCCCAGCGTGCAGCCAAAATACTTTCCGTCTGTATTAATGAGTGACTAAGATCCGCCAAAACGGACTCTGCCAGCGCTTTGATGGGAGTTGCAGCGCTATCTTTTTGCTTGGGCGTGTCGCTGCTCGTGTTGGTGACATACTGAGAAGAGAATGAGATTTAAGAAAGATTTAAATGCAAAGTCATCACCAAAAACGATCCTTCAAGTTGATGTATGTTTTGACCCAGTGATATATATATTTTAGAAGACCTATGATAAATCTATGAAATAACCCAAATGCATGATTGTTTGGGGTTTTCTTGTTTTGTTTTTTGTGACAAAGATGCATCTGTTTCAAGAGTTATCGCAGTCAGTGGAAACTCAAGACTGTCATCATACACATGGTCTTTACAGATGTATGAAAACTTTTGTCCAAGACTGTAGATGGCCCACATATGCAGAATTTCAAACTGTGATCTACACATTGCAGATACAGAGTTAAAGAGCAGCTATAAAACATAGGTTGCAGGTTCTCTCGGTGCCAGGTTTTGGTACTTTTATGTATTTGTTTTTTAGAGCTGTGGAGGTGAAGCCAGAGCATCAGAGGGCGAATCCTCATTGATCAACAGGATTTGAAATTAAAAGATATATCTTCTAAAAATCAGAAAATGATTAATATGATAAGGTGCATACTTCCTCAACATAGCAATGCACAGAGATTTGTGTTTTTCTTGGTGCTCTAACATCATCTTTTTCCTTTGTTTCAGCTGCTTCAGTATTCTCCCTCAAAGAGGTGCAGCTCCAGAAGGATCCGGGTCACCGCAGCTCAGTGTTCCAACCTTTAGGTGAGAACGAGCTTCGGTCGAGTCATTGTTACCTGAAGCTGCTCATTTATGCCATAAATATAAATTGAACACATTGGGAATCAGGTCTTTGAGTTCAATGTGTTTTGTTATATTACACATGATTGTAAAATTGCATTTAGGAGAATAGTTTCCCATGAAGCTGTGATTCTTTTATAGCATCTTCACAGAATCACCTCCAGTTCTGTTTGGTTTCTGACCGCAGCGTTCTGAAGTGTCGGCAGAAGTAATTTTGCTAATTAATTACCACTAAGGAGAGTCTGAGAGCAAGTGAAATCGAAATGGAAATAATTAAAGTGCTGTTAGCCATTAAACACTCCAACAAGCTGTTCTTCTACTTAATGAAGTCTCGCTACGGCTTTCTTTTCAGCTGAATAGGCTCAGTTGAGGCTTTAAGGCCTCATAATGCTTTTTGTTTTGTTTTGTTTTTTTAGCTGTTCCAGCTTCAGACTGATAAACGTTACATCATGAGAAGTCATTTAAGGGAAAAGCATGAGTCATTGTTTCCTCTCATTTGAATTGCTGGATTTCAGGTCGAGCAAAGAACCGAAGACAAAGCATCTTCTAGAGGTCCCAAAGAGGAGGAAACAGGAAGCACAGAGGAGCTCCACAGTCATCGAGGCCACCAACACGTTCACAAGCAAACTCACCCTCCTCGTGCACACGCCTGCATTCACACACACCAATCACGTGCACACACTCGTTTCCGTGGCGGCTGACCACGGAGACAACACAAGGTTTCTGGAGACAAATTAGTACTGTACTTGAAATGTCCTGAGCTGAAATACACTCAACACACACACTGACACACACTTGCACACATTTGCACAATCAGCGATACTGCACACGCTGCCATTACTCCCAGTACAAACCAGTAGTGAGTTCACCGCTGTGGAATATCAGAAATGTCAGTGATTCAAAAATGTACCACTTCTCAAAAACTGTTTTATTTCTAAGTTGACATGTTGAGTATTTAATCCTATAAACAATCCAAAAATAAATTCTTAATAAGGATTGTTTTGAAAATTTAGGCCCCAAAGTAGAAACTTATTGCAGAAAAGGTGATTACTGTCCTACAAACTACAAACCTATCAGATTGATTTCCAGGCAGCCTACCTGTGTGAACATGGTTATATATGACCTGTGAGTGCCAGAATTTTCTCAGTTTTCAACCTCTGGATCCGTCTGCACGACTCCACGTGTAAAGTAATTGACAGGAAGCTGAAAAACCAAATTGTAAGACAACTAAACATCAGTCAATGCAGCCGTAATCAGGAGGTCTAGAGTGAGCCGAAGCACCACTAATCAGAGCTGCAGCAACCGTCCTTCTAAAACCACAGAGACTTTTACGATCTATCTCTGAAAAACAGACGAGTGTTTCAGGCTTGGCAGATGGATCATCAGTGAAAATCGTAGCTTCTGTGAAAACTCAGACAGGGTGAAGGACGCTTCATAATGTGACCCTCTACCAACCGCATCCAACAAAGAACCAACCCGTGCTTTCTTTTCGGTACTAAACTACAATATTAAGCTTGTTAAAGGACTTAAAAAGAAGCCTGATGAACGTTGGGAGAATATTTAAAGCTACGTTTTTTGGCTCGGATGAGGTCCAGCATGGTTAATATGAGCTTGGCCCTTAAACCACAGTGAATGCATCGTCCTGAGGTGGGAGTGGGATGATGCTGGGGTGCATGAGTGGAAAAGGTTTTGGGGAGATGACAGTTATAGATTTATATACTAGAAAACTGTCGAACAAGATGAGCCTCAGTCTGCAGGAACTTGGCAGAAGAGACATACATCAGCATGATAATGACCAACTAGGACTTGGTACATAGTTGAACTTGCGTGTCAGCTGACTTGAATCAAGGAGCTTCAAGTCAGGCATCATAGAAGTCATAGAAGAAGAATCTCATCTTTGGGGTGTTTTAAAAAGAAAAGCAGAGCAATTGTTACTGAAATACTGAACAAGCAGTGTGTGTTGCGCTGAGTTTCTACTGTGAGCCTCGTGTTTGCAATACAGTCAATCAAAACCATTAGTTTTTTATTTGACACAAAGGAAAATGCCCTTTTGTCAAACTTAGAAGCAATGCAGTTATTACGAGGTGATGCAGTTTTGAATCATTTACGTGGTATTGCATAGCAGGTTGCTCCCTTCTCTTGCATACTGTTGCTGCACACACCTGATTAAACCTCCTGACACACACACCTGCATTAAAATACTGTCGTACACTGAGGTAGCTGCTGCCACATCTGGAACCGTCACACAGCTGCAAACTGTTGGGGCCAGTTGTTCATTTAGCTGTTTTTGTCCTACTAGAATTGACTCTACACCAAGATGCAGCTTCAAGATACACTTTGAGTTAATTAGACGCCCTTAAATCCTGAATTTCCCTCCCAGCAGTCAGGCTCTTTGTTCTGATTAGTGGGTGACTTCAGGATGAAACAGTCTGGATGAGAAAAAGGTTACGAGGCCCCCCAAGTGCAAATCACTGAAACCACCGTCCTCAAAAATGTTTAAATTAGAAACCAAACCTACTTTTTTCTGTATTATCAGGATTTGTCCCATTTTATTTATCGAATTAACTGATTTAGCAACCTTTTGGTAGAATTTATTTTGTTGCGTTAAGATCTAAAAACCCTCTCCATATCAAATGTTTTATATTATTGTCCTCCATCTGGAAATTCTGGATGTTTGTGGGAAAAACCACATTCATCCAGTAAAAAAAATAATTACTAAAACCACTGGAGTATTACAATAAAAACCAACAAACTGCTTCCATATTCATCCAAACACCATTAAAGCTGAGAGATAATTTTGTATTTTTCCTTCATAGGATCTATAGTTATTTTAGGTAATTGATCTTTAGCCTCACAAAGGTTTCAATCAGCGACAGAAATCCTCATGAACACATTTCAGTTTTATCACAAAGACAGATGAAAGAAATGAGACGTTGAGTGTCTGAAGCAAAATTCAGATACTGTGGTCTTATTAGTTGCAGGTAAACAAAAGTCCCAATGTGGCGGCGATGTGTGTGTGCAGTGTCACCTGACAGTCTCACAGTTGTACATACAAAAGCAGTCCAGACACAACAATAGTAGCATCACACTGTTCATCTGCAGCACCTCTGCTCACATGTAACAGACACCGAACCTCCCACAATATCCGACTTTATTGTGAATATAGAAATGGATTCCTGTGGACAGACTTGCCTTTGCTACAGTGCCCATGTGTTTCAACTCAGTGTGGGGCTTCTGTTCCATACAGTGTTAACAGCTAACTCCAGTTGTTTGAAGTTGCCTTAGTAAACTGTGCATGATATTTTTTTTGTTTTTTGCTTGTGAAGAATCTATATTTGATCTAGTGTAGCCAACGTGTTTAGGAGGCATTTGCTCTGTGTCTGTAAATAACTCACTATGAGTGTATGTATTTCTTAGTCTCCTATTTGCACAAACCAGAAGTGTCCTCTGAAGCCTGCTCCCTTCCCTTTGTGTCTTTCCTTACGTGATTCCAAAATATGACCCAGTATCATATCAGAAATCTCTTTTATTCATCATTATTTCCAGTCAACTGGGGAAGTGTCTCCTACAGGTACTTTCTAGTAGCAGTTTACTCTCAGTAGGAGTTACGTTTTGCACAACTATAGGGAAACATACCACTCTTCTGTTAGTAGATAAAGAGGTGAAACTCTTCCTTTATTGTACCGACTGTTTGGGTTTGAGCCAAGAGGTTTTGCTAAGAATGATCTGCAGACACAAAAGCGATGGGAGCTCGTGGCTAAGCGACACTCCGCTCTCTCCTTAATCTGCCCCGACGCCCTCGCCGTCTTCTCCCTCCTTGTCCAGGGCTGCTGCCATCCAAAAGAAAAGGAAAATTCTCGTGAAAAGTCTTGACAGGTCGCATTAATGACGTTATCGAGGCTGTTAACAGTGCAATACGAAAGAGACACCGAGGGTCTTAGTGGAATACTTCAGTGGCTTTTCTTTTGCGATAGTCTTCTTCCAACTGAGCTGCACTTTAGGATCAGCAGAAACGTAGATATAAAGTCGTGCCAGCATTTTTCATAGTTTCCTGACATTGATGGATAAAGATAAATGGTGGCCTGGACTTGAAACATCACCGTTGGATTTGATCTATGTGTGAACATTCGAGAAGAGCCGTGCTGACTCGCTGTAGCTCTTTGAACATGAGTCGTGTCCGAATGGTGGAGGGAATCCCAAGCAGGTCTTTGTACGTTTGTTCACACGTTGAAAGTCTTTAAGATCTCATGTGGATCTCCTCAGGTCACGGCACGACAGTCTTCCTACGCCTAAAGACCGAGGTCAACGCCACAAACAAACAGTTTTACAGTCCAATCTGTCCCAGCTCGGGGTTTAGTACGTTCTGAAGGATCTTTCAGGGAGATATATGCTGGGTTTTGTTTTGCTTGTAATAATTAGGACAGAACAACTCAAGACATTTACAGTCTGGGCTTTGTTGTCCATTAATGCACGAGACAGCTTTAGACAAGTCAGTGGACGAATATACGTGTGCTGGAGAACCATTGACCTCTGGGAGTTTTTCTCAACCATAGTTCTAACAAAATTAAACTCCTCTGCTGGTGAAAATAAAATGCTTCAGGAGGACAAATGAGTGGAACGACTCGGACTCCACCAAAGGCTGGGTTACACTGAAAACCCTCACAAACTGTTTGTCTGTCAGAAAGTGGTTATAGTTGCTCCGGCAGCATCAGTTACCGTCATGGCTGACTTTAAGCTAAACATACCTGCTCTCGCCTCGTAGTACAGCCTTCTGGTAAAACCACCGTCACCACAACTTCTAAGAGTTTCCAATAATCTGTCTTAAGCCAGTAGTTGATGTGAACAAAAGCAAAGCTCAGAGCAGAACCTTAGCAGCTCTCAGTAAGTGAACAACACTACAAAGACTTGGGATTTCCTCTCAATCAGTGGGTGACTCGATTCACAGACTTACCGCTCATGAGATCCAAAAAGAAAGTGAGACTGTTCATAGAAGACGGAGGTAGAGAAGCTGTAGTCAGAGAAGTGGGTGTCAAGTGCCTTTAAGCCGAGCACTGAACCCCTAAACGACACCATCGGGGGGGATTTATGTTTGTGTGTGTGTGAAGAGACAGATGCCGGTGAAAGTTTTTCTACCTCTACAAGTGGAGAATGATGTTGTGGACCATCCAGACCTCTGTTCACCTGTCAGCGAGCGAGAGCTTGAATAAAGGCAACGAGGAAAGAAATTCAGGGCAAACCTGCAGGGACTTCAGAGGGATGCATAGCCGTGGATGTTACACTTCCAACCCTCCCCTAACCTTTCCCTCAGTGGCAGAAGTATTACTGTGTGTTTAGTTGTGGTACATGAAGCTATTTTAAATACTGTAATGAAAAAGAAATAATATATATGTATTTTAACAGATGTTTTCATCTTTTTCAGTGAGTTCGACGCTGTTAAAAAGACACAAAACAAACAATAGAGCACTGTATTTAAAGTATAGAAAAAACAAGAAAAAAAAGCGCAGATGATATCTAAATGTTTTATAAAAGATAAGTTTAGATTTTGTATGAGATGTGATATTTTGTGTGATTTGTCCACACTGTTATACGATGAGAAATTGAATGTACTGTGACTGCCAGTGGGCATCAAATTGATTGAATAATTAATCAAATAATGAATAAATAAAGTATTGAAATTCTGGATAACCTTCACCTGCTCAGTGTCTGTTTTTATTTTATTTAGATCAGCTGACATGTGGCTCTTTAGGAACAGCAAGAAAAAAACCTGCAGTAACACAGATGAGCAGAATAGTGGCGCTATTGGACAACTACAGGCCGTTTACTGTAGACCAGGAATGTCCACACTGGTTTCCAACGGGGCCAAATTTTATCATTTGAAAATGTCCAGCGGCCAACGATGGCCTTTGACGTACTTTTTGAAGCATAAAAATGACATTCTCTGTTGTATAACAGCTTTATTTTTAATGTCATAACCACTGTCATTTGTTAAAGTGGCAGCGTAACGACATTTAAGGCTTTCTTTCACATTTGGAGAAACAAATAGAATTGGGGACATTTAAAAGTATCGTGTTGCACCTTGTAACTCAGGCTTTTATTGTCATTCTTCTTATGATAAACATGAATTGTGGGTAATGAAATATGGTCACTGTTAACAAGTCATAAATGTATTAAATGTAAATGAATTCTTTTAGTGTATGAACTCGCTCAGGTCTTCTAGAAATTTGACAAAATCTGCTGGGTCAAAAACATACATACAGCAATGCTAATGTTTGGTTTGGCCACTGGCTAAATGGATTAAGGTTTTAGACTGGTCTCCCCAAAGTCATGACGTAAACCTCATCAAGAACCTGTGGACTGTGATGAAGAAACAAATATTTATCAGAAAGCCAACAAAAGTGGTTGAACTGCACCAATTCTGTTCAGAGGAGGGTCAAAGATGCAATCAGATGCATGTGAATGGCTTCCAAAAGCACCTAGTTGAGACAAAGATGACCAAGTATGAGCATTTTTGAGGCAGCAGATTTTGTCACGTTTCCAGAAGACCTACAATGAATCTTGAAAGAACCAAAATGCACGATTGATGTAGGAACTATTGGAAACTCAAGACTGTGGTGATATAGAGATGGTCAGTAACACCTCGGCCTACAGCCGTCACATCTGCTCCAGTTGTTCCTTCAGTCCCTGGTGCTTCTCAGGCTTTCTTCTTTTCCTCCTGATGTTACAGTCAGCTGCCACATCCACCACAGCTGCCCTCTTCTGCTACTCGTCTACCACCACTACAACAGGTTGCTTAGGATCTTAGCTCTGTTGTTCTCGGCCACTTTCGGTGGTTGGTCACACCAGAGCCTGGGGACCTCTGGTCCATACTCAGCACAGATGCTCCTGCACCCTGCCCCATCCACTTGGTTGTCTCTCCGTGTCCCAGCTTGGATCTTGAACCCTGCTGTTATGTGTCTCAGGGGCCTCGTTGCGCCGCCTGCACCTGGAGTCCTGCCTGCTGTGGTCGGCCTCTGCTGCTCTGGTGCTCAGGGCCTGTTCTTGTGCCAACCTCTGTGCCGTCCTTCAGGTCGGCCTGTTCCAGCCACTGGTACAATTTCTTATCACTCCTCAGCAATATCAAACATTTATTTTGCAGAGGCCAGAACACACTGCTCTGACTGTGAGGAAGGACATCGTTACTAAAAGCCAATGTAACAGTAAACCTGTGAGTTGCGTTCACAGTCTTGTGACGGGTTACGTACCTGTGCATTCATTTTTGAAGATGCATCAACAACACATCATTTTAAAATTGCCTTTCACTGTTATTATTCATTGTCTTTTTTAAAGTTAGTATCATACGATGTATTTAGTGACATCATTAGACATGTTCATGCTGCACAAGAAGGTGTGATTTTATCCTGGATGTGTGCATGACTCAAATCAAACACAAAAAGGTGTCTCATGTAAATGAATCAACGATGTGTTTCTTTATTACGTGTGACTGATCTCAGCTCATGCCATAAAACCAATACGACTCATCACAGCGTTCTAAGCTGCTGAGAGCAGCGTGATGATTTTACTACTTAAAGCAACCTTTGCATCAGAGGTTCACTCTAAGCTACCGCTGTGTTGTTGTTTCTGCCGTTATGAGCAGCTAACTTCTTGTTCTTGAGAAGATTAGACGTCTGAAATCAGTCCTAAGACAAGAAGAGACAGATAAATGTGAAAAAGAATCAACAGTTAGTATAACAGTGTGGGTAAGAACAGTAGCTCCATGTTGACAATGCAGACCTCCTTCACTAACTTTAAATAATCAGTGTTGGCAAGTTAGCAGCTAGGATGTTCAGGATCTGTATTTTAAATCTTTGCATTACTATTCTAAACAATTACGACCACGCCAGAGGAGGACACGTGAAATTTATATTCTTCCTGCACTGAGAGAAAAACTGAAAGAGGGCGGCGCTGTCAGTCAAGAGCCAATCAGCTTCCAGTCTGTCAATAAGATAAGTGGCTCAGCAGTGGGCCAGGCCAGGCCGGGCCAGGCTCAGGGATTCCTGGACACTGTTTACTTTCTGCGTGAAGTTGAGGCCGACGGAGAAATGAGCAGCTGGCAGCTGTGAGGCCTCTCAGGACGTCAGACTCCTGCGAAGAAGCGACATGAAGCTGCTGGATGAGCGGCTCTGGTCCCTGTTTCAGCGCCACTGGCAGCAGACTCTCACCTACTGGAGTGTGTTCTTCAGCTTCGGCCTGTGCATCGCCTTCCTGGGGCCCACCATCCTGGACCTGAGATGTCAGACCCAGTCCACCCTGCAGCAGATCACCTGGGTCTTCTTCTCCCAGCAGTTCTTCCTGCTGGTGGGCAGCGGCGTGGGAGGCCTGTTTAAGAGAACGTGAGTGTGGTTAGTGATAAGTGCTGATGTGCTCTATTGTTGTCGCTCACAGGGTGTTGGAAGTGTGTTTTCATATCTGAAGGCATTTGCATAATAGTCCTGCAGTATTTCCATAAAGACTTATTTCATCTGCAGTCATGGGAACCTTGTGCAGTCTGCTGTATGTATTTCAACCAGAAATCTTCATTCAGTCTAATAATACACTGATATAATGAACAGTTGTGTTTTTAGTGCTGGAACATGTGCATATATCTGTGATGATGCTGCAGCAGACTGTATTTATTATTATTCACATTCACAAAGCCCCTGAGTGTGGACTCGCTGTGACCTCAGTGACCCTAAACTTTAGTTATTCTGTTTACATACTACACGGTTCTTTGTCAATTACTTTTTAGCAATCAAGGGAATAAATAAACTTCTTAAGACAAACATGACTTATAGAATATATAATATTAACCCTTCATGCTCGTTGTATGTTGTCGCTTTCAACTGTGGCAAAGAAAGGCGTTACGGAAGTAAGTTTTAAATTATTGTGTTTTAAATCAGGTCAAAAAATGCTTTAACAAACCGGTACAAAATAGTTTAATATTATTTTCTTTCATGTGGCGGTATTATCTATAAGAAATACATGTTGTACATATACAGTGTTGACAGCAGTCGTGGACATCAAGGACATGTCATATTTTTCGACCACTTTTCGACCAAAACATAAAAAGAAATCAAATATTTACATGCAAATAAATAGCATTCTGCCATCTCTGCCACAGGTGCTCACGTGGCAGCATAAATACAGCGTTATAAAAACGTTTAGACGGCGCTTTAGGGCAATAAAATGTTCCGAGACAGTATCCAAGAAGACAAATAAATCAACAGGATTAGTCATTTTACTATTGGGTCCTGCTGGATGAATCATTTGACCGCTGTATAAATTTGACTCATCAAAAAATATGGATTTGAAATCATTTGCTGACCACAGCCACACATTTGACAGAACTCACAGGAGGATTGTTTCAGGTGTGTGTCTGAAACAACTGAACATACATGAGTGTAAACTGGTTCCTACAACAGCCAAACACCCACAAAGAATCTTCCAACAGGCTGCTCTGATACTGTAGTTACTGCCTAAAAAAGGTGAAAACCTGGAGGTTAGTAGCACCTTTTCCTTAAACTTAGATATTTCCTGAACACTTCACGACTGTGTGTCAAAAGACAAATAAAGGTAGAGTCACTCTGACACATCCAGTATTTCAAAACATCCTACAACGTTTAAAGACTTTCTCTTTATTACACTGATTACGCTCTTCAACTCCTATAAACATCTGATGTTTAAGCCTTTATAATCTCAGCTGGTTTGGATCATTCTGACAGTAGCTACAGTTGGTTTTAACCCTCTGGTGGTTACCGACAGGCAGCTGAATGTTTTTCTACAGGTCTTTGGTGAGCGTCCCTTTAGTTTGCTGGATTTTTATCTGGGACAAGGTTAAAGCGACACTGGAAAGTTGGCAGGAAACAAAGCGAATGCAAGGTGGCGACAGCATGGAGGTGTAATGAGGCTGTAGGCTGCAGGCTGTGATAAAGCTGCTGGGTACATAAAAGTTAGTGGAACAGGAGATCATCAAGGTGACTTTACTGAAACAATACCAGAGCTGGAAACCCTCTGTTCCAGCTGGCCTGGGTGGAGAGACAGAATCGTCTTCCTCTGTAGCTTAATCATTGATGCTGTCTTTAAGAGAAGGGTAAGTGAGAAGGGGTAATTAAATCCCCCATTATGATGACTTTATCTGTAATTAGCACTAAATACAACTAATACGACGACTAACAGAAGTGTTTCCCAGTTTGAGGGTAAGACTTTCAAACAAGTTACAGCTAAGTTTTGGTCTTGATTAATAAGTAACAGACTTTTTATTACTCACTAACACACTGAGGAAGCTGCACGTGGACCGGCTGTAAACTAACTGACCCGAAACTTTAGTAATGATGTTAACATGCTGTGCATTTCTTTGTCTCTGACTTTTCTGCAAACAAAGTGACACATAAAACATCGATGATTCAGGCTCATTTCTGTGTCGTCACTTTCAGCTGGGGCAAGAACAGGAGTTAGTGACAGAAATTTAAAATGACTGTGTTTGAAATCAGACCATCAGAACAATAAATACAGTTAACGAGCAGGTAAAGATCAGTATCAGGTCATATTCTCTTCTTACTGCCGACTTCTTATCACTTTCAAACTCAGTTTTGGTCTTTGGTTTATTAATAGGTTTAGGTGGAGGATTGCTGCCACTCCTCATCCTCTTGCTGTACTTCTGGGGATATAAACATTTATATGACTGTGATTTGGACTCACACATTCTTCATGTTGCCACCAGGTTTCAGTCAGAATGTCTAAATACTCTGCGTGATGCTTTGGGTGTCGTGTCGTTCCTCCAGCCTCACGTCCTCCCTGTCAGCCCTGTTCTCCTGCACTCTTCTCATCTCCCTGGTGTTTGCCGTCATACCGCTGTGTCACAATGTGGTGCTGCTGTCCGTTGCCATGGCGCTGGCTGGCAAAGCCATGGGGGTGATCGACACCATCGCCAACCTGCAGCTGGTGAAGCTGTACCAGAAGGATTCAGCCATCTTCCTGCAGGTCAGAAAGGGCGTTCTGTACGACAAAAACATGGTTTCACAGCGTCAGGATTTTCATATGAGCAGTGGCTTACATGTGTGGTGAATATTGATTGAGTTGACCATGTATAAAATCAGGTTAAACATTCATAAAGAAGGTGGGGTCATGACCATTTTTGCATCATTTTCTTTTCACCAATCTGTGGATCGATGTTTAAAGTGCCATAACTTGACAAATAATGTAGCTCAAGTCCTGAAAGTTTGCAGGCTTATTGATATGTGATTTTGTAGCATCAAAGACTATATGTACATACCAATGAGGCTACATGATTTCAGAACTCCAGCTACACTATTTCTCAGGTTATGGCACTTCCAGCATTACTCTACAGATTGGCACACAAAAAAAAAACAATCCAAAAATCAACATGATGGAATTTTGAAAAATTACATCACTTGTGACCAAAAAATTTCAGACGTTTTACTGAATAACAAATGCAAACACAGAAACAATAAATCTGACAAATATGAGAGCGTGAACTTTTTAAAAAATAATTTGGTGAAATGAGGTGGAATGACCTTTATAAAATATTTTTTCACGATGCTGAAACTGAAACAAACACATCTATTATTGGTCAATTACTAGTACTGTAATAATAAGGGGCTGCAAGGTGGATCAGCGGTTAGCACTGTTGCCTCACAGCAAGAAGGTCGCCAGTTCACGTCCCGGTGAGGACACCCAGGATCTTCCTGCGTGGAGTCTCCATGTTCTCCCCGTGCAGCGTGGGTTCTCTCCGGGTTCTCCGGCTTCCTCCCACAGTCCAGAAACATGCTGAGGTTAATTGGTGATTGTAAATTGTCCGTAGGTGTGAATGTGAGTGTGCTTGGTTGTCTGTCTCTAAGTGTAGCCCTGTGATAGACTGGTTACCTGTCCAGGTGAACCTGCCTTCACCCTGAGTCAGCTGGGATAGACTCCGCCCCCCATAACCCCAGTGAGGATTAAGGTGTAGAAATGATGGATGGATGGATTTTGATTTGCCGCAAAGTCTGGTTTAGTGTCAGTGTCCTCATCAGGAGGTCCAACAGAGCTAATAGAGGAGTTAGCCTTTTTGCTCTTTGGCTAAACAGGTCATCATTTGCTTCAATATTAAGGCAATCATTTGTCAAACATGTGGGATGTTGTTGGAAAGTACTGCAGTGATTACGTCATGATTCCTGGGTTTTATAAATGTCTGTAAGTTGATTTATTATGATGTGAAATAAAGCTGTTCAGCTATGGAAACACTTCAGTTGTTTATCCCATAACAGATAACATGAATAAACAGATTCATTAATTACAAAACTGCGTTCAGGTATTTCAAAAATGTGAATCCTATTAACGAGGACAGTGTTTCTCTTTTCTATGACACAAAAAAAGCTAAATTAATAGAATTATGTGTTACTGTACATGTCAAAATCACATCCTGATGTTTACTCTTTGACCCAGGTCAGTGATCTTTAACATTTTTAGAACCCAGACCCTCCATAATCCATGTGGTCTGTGCCCAGGCTTTGCATTTCTTCATCGGCCTGGGCGCGCTGGTCAGCCCCCTGGTCGCTGAACCTTTCCTGGCGGACGACAACTGCGTCCTGGGATCCAACTGGACGACCAACTCCTCCTCGGACCTGGAGCATCTCCGCAGCACTCTGGCCGGGCCCGGAGCCACGCTGCACAACACCTCCCAGTATCCTCTGCACACCGAGGGCAAGATCATGACCCGGGTGTCGTACGCCTTCTGGATCATGGCTCTCATCAATGTGAGCTCGTGTCAATACTAAATGTGTAGCTAACACTACAGTATGCTGCCCTAAAAAGACAAAACACAGCACGGTTTGTCCCAAAAGAGTTCAGATTATTAACCTTTTACAGCTTACACACAGTTTAACCTAAGAGCCTTCAAACTACAACCTGTTTCTTACTGTAGTTTCTGCTGTGAGGCTGCACGATGCTACGTAATACGGCCATTTTTATCCAGATAAACAAGTGCCACTAAAAGGCAAACTGTGTAATTAAATGTAACATTCAAACACTGTGTATAATTAGCTGGAGATGCTGATGGCTTCTTGGACTTGCAGGCAATAAGAAGAAAAAAAAAAACAGCACTTAGCAACAGTGATTCATCCTATTCGGGTAAAAAAACTCATGCAAAAACTTTGTTGTGTAATTTATGGCTACAGTTTCCACGCAGTGTTGAACAATTTCCACAAGGCAAATTACCCAAATGGAGTTAAATAACATCATTACACGCTGTCTTTGCATTTCTTCAGACGGTTACCGACTGTCTTACAGCCACTCAGATAAAATGATAAGCCGCAGAGCAGAATTACATTTGACATCATCATGTGTTTGACTTAGACCTGATAAGACGGCCTGGACTCTGCTTTTATGACATGAGCGTTTACAAATCGAATCAGCTGACAGGAAGTGTTGCCTGTCCCCTCAGTGAACAATAGTGTCTTTGTGTGTTTGGCAGCTCCCTGTGCCGGCGGCAGTGCTCGCATTGATGTACCACGAGAGGCTGCTGCCTTGGTCCGGCAGCAGTCCACGTCTGCTCAACAAGGAGTCTCTGTCCAGCTCGAACCTCGCCGAGGACAGCGAGCAAGGTAACGCGTGAGCTCTCGTGACCTCTCTGCTCAAATGAAAACGACAGAGCTCTGAGTGTCCCTGTCTCTACAGGACACGGGAATGTGTTTAGCTGCTGTCACCCCTCCAAGCTCCGGGGTCGCCCTGCTACGTTCTTCATCCTCCATGTCGTGGGTGGAGCTATCCTCTTCATCACTGATGGAATTATAGTGAGCTTTCCCGTCAACGCTACACTCACATACACTATGCTCACTCTGAAGGGGGGGGGTAAGGAGGCCAGCAATTAAATCACTCACATCCCATTACGACTGACTGACAGCTGCATCAAAAATCCCACTCATTCTCAGGTCAAGAACTTGATTCAAAACAGTCAAATTTGCACCTATATTAAAATTTTACTGTGGCTCAGGATGCAGCACAAGTGATGTCTGTAGCCCCAAAAGAACCTAGTGAACCCCACTGTGGCAGGTAGGAGCACTAATGACTTGCATAAAGAGGAGGAGGAGCAACAAACCCCCAATAGAAATCCAAACTCAGGTGTTAATGGCTCCTTAAGGATATAAGCATCTGGAACTCCCAACTAGTCAGTCAGAGCTGATGAAGCCTCTTGGATGAGAGGTGGAACGTCTTCAAGGAACTCAAGCAGGTCCAGTTGTTACGATTAATCTACCAGAACAGTGATGTCTGTACATGAAAATGCACCAGTCCACGCAGAAGTCATGAAAAACCCTCTTGGACTCGTTTGAGCATCAAGACGCTTTCATGTTTTCTTCAGTATCAAAGGATTCCAGTGATTGTTGTGGTGAATATTGATTTAAATCATTATTCCAGACCCCTGCTCCTGCTAAACTGCCGGCTTTGTTGTCCTGCAGGGCTCCTACGCTGGCTTCGTCTACACCTACGCCGTGTCCCCTCCTCTGCTGATGGGCCACAAGACGGCCGGTTGTCTGGACAGCGTGTTCTGGGCCTCCATCACAGCAGGAAGACTGGCTTCCATGTACCTCTGCTACAGATATACGCCACCCAGGCTGATCGCCTGTAGTCTGGTATGGATCCATATTTAAAAGGACAAATCCACCCCGAGGAGCATTTTCTACTGAAAGCCATAAAATCTAATGCAAACCATTCCAGACAAATATTTGAGCTGTGTGGGGATGTGGATGATGAGATTAGGCGGCACCGTTGTGAGGAGGATCATTGTCTAAGTACACATACGTAGACCTTTGAGCTAAAAATTTTCAGGCAAGGAAACTTCCACAGGCTTTAACAATGGCAGAGGTCAGAATCACATGACTTCATCCAGCCAATCAGCGAAGTCACAATGGCCACTGCCCAATCACGAGTCAGCCAAAATTATATTTTGACACAAGTGTCATAAGTAAGTCTGACCGGTGATTTAGAAATAAATGTTCCTTCATCTTTATATGTGTATTTTTTATAATCATTTATCCAGATATTATTTGGATTTTTTTTCTAAATTAGAATTTTTTTTAAAAGTCGAAAAAGAAAAAAATGTCCCCTTATATCCACCAATAACATTCCAGGGTTGAAATGTGAAATGTCCATTTCAACAAGTGCCCCTGTAAAGGATTAACGTTTATTTGAGGCACTTTAAGAGCACTGCCATCGACTTCTTCTGTCTTGGACTCCATCTGTCCACCTCTCTGTTACTCACTCATTCAAATCACACAACAGCTACTTGGATGTATGTAAAACCTGGCCTGGCTACTAAAGCTCCACTCCATGTTTAAGCTCAGTTAAGCCAAAGCTGGTCTCTTCACATATATGTCACACCATGATCAGTCAGCTATGGGCAGCCATGTTTTATACATTTGTTAAAATAGCTCAGCTAGGAGCACAAACTGAAGATCTAGAGGTCCCTGGTTCAGTCCGGGGCACTGACCCTGTTTTAATTGCGGGTTTGAGCAGCTTTTAAGCAGGCTGGGATCAACAGAACTTGGTCACTTGTGGTTGTACGTCTAGAAGCTGTGCAGACACTGTGGCTCATTAGCGAGCAGAGCCAAAGCTGACTACAAAAAACACTCTGGCTTATTTGTGTTTGCTTTAAACCATCACAGTGGTTTTAGCTGATGCTGCTTCTCTCAAAATAGCGTCAGGTGGATTGTTTTAGTGGAACGACTGCATGCAGGGAGACGAGCGCTGTCATTAGATAATTAAAACCAGCAGAGCTGCCTAACTGGAGCCGGAACTGTTCCGTGTGGCAGGCTGCTGACCCAGAGGTTGTTGTTCCTCATAGGGAAGTGAATTTTCAAAACAGTGACACATAAACAGCAGAGGGAGAGGAGAAAGCCGTCTGACGTGACCGGCCAATGGCAGGCTTACACCCATAGTTTACATTCAGAGAGTCAGACGAGTGCAACTCGTGTTCCAGCTTTTGATTTCAGGTTAACAAAATAAATGGACACTTTTGCTGAGTCGTGGTCCATCTTGTGCTCTGTGTTTGTGTTCCTCTCAGGTGGGAGTCATCGTGGTCCAGTGCCTGTTGTTGATTTTCTACACCAGCAGTGTGTTTCTCTTCATCGGTACCTGTGTGCTGGGCCTGTGCATCAGCAGTGTGTTTCCCTCCATGCTGGCCTTCACAGAGGACATCCTGGACTACAAAGGTACACAAACACAAGCGCATTCATTCACAAAAAAGCAAGTTTGGAAGGCAAACACTGTATATGGAGCTCTAAAAATAACTTCAATATCAACAACACTAATAC